ATTTTTTTGGGGGGGATCAAACTGTTAACACCGTGTGTCCCAACCAGACACGACGCGATAAAAAGTATCTTTTCCTTGTAGTTTTTGTCCTAACCACCCGCGACAGCGACACGTGACAATAAGCGACATGGGATTGTATTTTAGGAATGGTTTTTATTTTCTGTAACGTCGCGGCAGGAACAACATACAAAATATGACAGTGATAATCTCAAGTAATGATTATGTGCTTTATTCAATGTTAAAAGTGTCTAATGTGAGTTTGAATATTATTTTGCGTTATCTTTATAGCCATAGTGAAAGCAACAATAGATATTTTACCTCAGATCTTGAAAATAAATTAAAGCAAACTTGTACGTTAAAACTGTGAACTCGCTGCGAACCAACACGTGTATTCCATAAACACTCAATCCACTCAATCACTCACTCACTCACTCACTCACTCACTCACTCACTCACTCACACACACACAACACACACACACACACTCACTCACTCACTCACTCACACACACACACTCCCTCTCACTCACCTCACACACACACACACACACACACACTCACAAACACACGTGCACACACGCACTCACACACAAACACACACACACACAGATACACACACACACACAGATACACACACATACATACACACACACACTTACACGCACACTCACACACACACATATACCTGCAGTGCGTTCGTGTCTCCTCACTGTCACTGTTATTTTAGGAGGACGGATCACAGGAAGTGGAAGGTAAGCAGTTCTGCATCCCAGCATTCAGTTCATCACAGATATTCATCTGACATTCAGGTTAATGGTTGTGTTTCCTGAGCCGCTCAAATTAACCAAAACCCAAACTCTGGATCATAACAACCTCATCCAACCATCTTCTAATAACCAGCTTTACTGACGTGTGTGTGTGTGTGTGTGTGTGTGTGTGTGTATATCTGTGAGTGTGTGTGTGTGGTTCATCATCACGCGTGGTCTGTGTTTCAGCAGAAATACTGCAGCACCGGCTGCCACTGAACTGCTTTGATCGTCAGTGTGTTTGCTAGTTTTCTGTTGGTGATGTCGACTGAATCGCTCCAGCGGATGCTGACTGGCCTCTGCACACTCAGAATGAGCCAGTGGTATTGATTCCTAAATAAAACTAATGAATATGACAAACAGAAAGATTTCAGGACGGTGAGACTAGAGTCACGCTCTGAAACGCCACATGCTGTCATGACCAGCTGAGATGTGTAACACGGTTACAGCTGTGTGTTTATCTGTTGGTCAGTGACGTGTGTTGTGTAACGTCATTATACAACGTTACTGAAGCCACAGATGGAGGAGCAGCGGTCTGCAGGCTTTGTTGCTGTTGATTCTTCAGATGAATGTTGTAAATGGAGGGAGACTCACTGAAGAACTGTGTCTGGTTTTAATGTGGCTCTGGGTTCTGACTGTGCCTTCGCTTGCTTTATAGAGTGTTTTCACAGAAAACAAGTGAACAAAGAGACTAGCTGCACTGGGATGAGTTGTTAGGATTAGGGTTAGTTGGGGTGGAATATTGTTAAAATGATTGCTTACGCTGTACCATCTTTAGTCTTGAATGTGTGTGTGTGTGTGTGTGTGTGTGTGTGTGTGTGTGTTTGCGCCTTGTTGAGGTGATATGCAGTATGTACACTGTATGTCCGGGTTTGTTTCATTTTTGCGGTTTGTTACACGGATAGTCCATCCCAAAAAAATGACCATATTTGCTCTCCAAACCTGTATGACTCTTCAGTGTAACACAAACAGTTATTTTGAGGAATGATGGAAGAACCAAACAACATCAGACGCCACTGATTTTCATTATGTGGACCAAAAAAAAATTTCTCAAAATATTTCTTTTACATTTCAGAGAAGAAAGTTATACAGATTTGAACGAGTAAATGATGACAGAACGATGATTTTTTATTTTTTTGGCGAACTATATCACTGTAAGAGAAAAGCACTTTTTGCACATAGAAACTTTAATCTGGTCAGAGAACATGAACTACTTCCCTTCATTGTCAGGCTGTTGATGAATTAAACATCGAGAATGTATCCTCAGTTCCAGCCAGTGCTCGCTGGCGTTGAGTATTGAAGAAGCAGGTGTGTTGTTGCTGTTTTTCTCTTTGTAAATGATGTGTTTGGAGCCTCAGTTCAGCTCAGCGTCACTAGAGGGCGTCATAGTGCAGTTAAACACGTCACAACACTTCAGATGAGAGTCGGTGCTTCACTATAGACTGATAAATTATGCAGCATCAGTCCGTCTGGGCTTTGCTTCCCATCAGGAGTTATTCTGTAATCTGTGTGTCAGGAACACCTCGTTCTCAGCCGTGTCACAGTTAGTTTGGTGAGCAAACTTCACAGTGCGTCAGAAGCAGGTCAGCGGAGTCTCATCTGTGCTTGTGTTTGGATCAGGACGCGGTTTGAAGATAAAGTAACCAGGACGAAGCTGAAATCCTGCCCTCTGTGAGAACATGAGCGAGAGAGAGAGGCCTGACCTATTTTTATGCTTGGATCAGGCACTAATGGACAGCTATAAGCATCCCGGGTCTTCAGAGACCTGAAGAACCCTCTCTGCTCTCAGCTGATGAAAGCGTTGAGAGATTTCTCCTGCAAACTAACAGCTATAGCTACTCTGCCAGCAGCAGCCTGTATACGTATATAGCTGCTGTCACACCTCAGCGTGCGCGTGTTAGCGCCCTGCTAGCTCTCCAATAAGATCAGCCGGCGGGATCCACGTGCGCAGCGTGTCTCAGGCTGATTAGATCTGACTTTCAGGTTCACTTTGGTGTTTGTTTCATGAACTTCCCAGCGAGGTGAGCGCGATGAGGGAACGTTGGCAGCTCGTCGTCAGGCCGTGCTCAGTGTTATGCATGCTAACGCTTAGCCTCTGGATGAGCTGTGCTGTTTCTGGGGTGTTTTTACACTTCTGGTCTTGTGATGTTTTGTTGCAGGGTGGCAGACGCCACCTCTGAAAGCGTGTTGATGTTGAATGAAGCTGCAGGCCGCGACGGTCGTATGACTTCACAAACAGGAGCGCTGTGCCATCGCCATGGCAACACTCATACCGCTCTTAACCCCATAATAACCAGAGCAGGTGTTGCTCTCCTCACTCAGCCAAACATGAACATATTTATACCGTGATGCTCTTTGTTGACTCTGTTCATGTGTCGTGGTATTGAAAGGAGTTTGCTCATCTATTCAGCATATGACCGTATTTTTACAGTGTTTTTTGACCATTTTGGACACTGAACTATGAATCTTAATTTCTCCTTCAGTCTTCCAAAGCACAAAAATAACTGAGCTTGATTTTGAGAAGACATGAGGGACAGTAAAATGTTTTCATTTCTGAGAGAACTATTATCGGCATTGTAGTGTTAAAAAATACTGTGGTATTGCAGTCATAGTATTGTCCAAAAAAGCATGCTATATTTTGTCGATTTGTATATTTTTTTTATTCCTTATTTTACTTGTTCTATTTTTTTTTTTTTTTTATTATCTGTTTTTTTATTCTGTCACTGTCATTCTGTTACACTGTGGAAGCTTCTGTCACGAAAACAAATTTCTCGTATGTGTAAACATACCTGGCAATAAAGCTCATTCTGATTCTGATTCTGATTCTGAAGTGCAGCACTGCAGTAGACGGCGAGCGAGAGACCGATGGAGACGTCTGTGAGACACACGGAGCAGATGGAGGCTGCGTTCGGCTGGGCTCCCGCTGGAAACACGCCTCAGTCGCTCCAGCCCTCGCTCTCGCTGTGACCGCGCTCATCCCATGTTTGATGTGAGCCGCTCTTCATTAATAATTCACACGACCCTCCTGATCCTCGCCAGGGAAGCACTGTCACTCGATAAAGACCCGAGGAGCACAAACAAACCGTGATCCGGCTGGAAATAACCTGCTCTCGCAGAGGAAAGACGCCGAGTGATTGTTCAGCACGGAAATGATGATTAATAATTAATGTCATGCATTAGATGCTGATGGAGTCATAAAATCAGTCTGTTAGTGAGCGTTTGTGAGCGTGCGGGTGATTACATGACGAGTGTGAAACGGGAACGTTCAGCTAAAGTAATTCAATCTCTGCCCAATCTAGATTTCAGCAGCTTGGCGTCCCTCGATGCGGACCAGAATTAGGACAGCTGTTGAAGAAGGTCGTTCTCCTCCCAGAGTGCTTTAAGAGCGCGGTGGAATTGGACGTGAGCGTGGTTTGTTGACAGATGACGAGTCTTTTGAGGAAAGACATTTTTAACTGTGAGTCGGGAGGGAACAAAAACTAGAATGGGCTGTGCTTTCATCGGCAGGTCTCTTTAGGTCAGTGAATCCGGGGCGGCCCGCTGACTTCAGGGTTTTGAGGTGTTTCTCAGCTCTGCTGCTTGAAGGGACGGTGGATTTGTCAGTGTGTGTAAGTCACGATCAGGTGAGCGGTCGAAGTGGCCTGAATCGTTACTCTTCTTGACTGTGGCTCGTACAGTAACCGTGTGTAGCTGAAGCCTTGACGACTCCCTCGTAACCTTTAATTACTGACCCAGGTGATAAAGACGTGGCTCGTCTGAGGTGGGAACGGTTGACAGGAGTCGCAGCTTAGCGTCAAACACAGTCGGGCATCTCGGCTTTATGGCTTTGTGTCTTGTCCAGCAGGGGACAGCAGATGTCCTTCCCCGAAGTAGGTCGGGCTTTGTGCGGGATCCATCTGTTGCTGTCAGCCGACTGAAGATATGATTTTCTAGAAGGTGACCTTTGAGATGACGGGCATGTGGTGACGATGCTAAACCGGTTTGAGGAATTGGGATGTGCAAGTGTAGCACTCAGGAAAAATGATGTTAGTTTTTGTTTTTTGTGCTGGTAAAGAACTGTACATAAGGCTTCCCTTGTGCCTTCCTGACATAACCAGCTCGAAGCAGTGCATGCAAGTACTAACCCTGTTCTGAGGGTTAACCAGCGCAAGCAGAGATCAGAGGCGCTCTCAGATCACGAGCGAGTGTGAATGTTTCGAAATCACAGTCTTTGACACGATTCATCTTTCTTTAATTACACCGTTCCCAGGGGAGTGAGCGGGGTAGTTAACCAGTCAAATAAGCAGTAAAGCAATTATTGGGTCAGAATGAATACAATTCTGACATCTTTAATCACTAGGGAAGTCTGTGCCTGGAGAAAAGCAGGGTTCTGGTCTCTCCCAGAGCTGGCAGATGAGATGAGACCGTGTCGCATTGGCTTTTCAACACTGAAGTGATCTTCTGAGATCGTCTCAAATCTGAACCTTTAACCTCAGGCTGTGGTTTTACTCTCCTGCGGTCGGCCTGACTCATTCTAACATGGTGCGGCTTTATTTTGTCTTTTAATCCGTGTGCTTATTCATGTTACAGCGCTGTATTCTCTCACATGACGTCGCTGTGGCTTCACATCTGCTTTGTGATTACGCTCCAGATCAGAGCTTCCCAACTGCTGGATCACGACCCAGAAATATAGCTTTGTTTTTCCCTGCTACGATAGCAACAGATGGAAAGACAAACAACAAGAGATCAAAGAAAACACGCCATTAAACACGAATCAGCGAAGAAAAAACGGTTGAGATGCTCTGATCTGGAGGCTTCTGTTCCGATGAGTTCCTCGTCTGATTTTGTACCGCTTTCTTCCGCAGCTTCAGAGCGAGCTGGACCAGGAGTATCAGGACAAGTTTCGGAGGCTCCCAGCGGAAATCCAAGAGTTCGTGCAGGACTCTGCTGCTTGTAAAGGCAAGTTAAGCCAAGACAGTGACTTTCTTCCCATTTCCAGAACGCCGGGGAAGCTGAAGCCCTCGCTCTCGCCAGCTGAAGATGTGGAGCGATCTTCAGAGAAAGTCTTCGACACACCACTCTGAGCTAGTTGTACCTTTGTAAACATGTTTTTGTACTTGATACGCTGTCGAGTTTCCCTGATTTAATGTGCACCTTTTAGTACGACGACTGGATGACTTACTTGAACAGTGTTAAAAATAATTTTCCTTTTTTTTTACTTTTAAAACTCGTAGTTTTCACAAGAACTTTCTGCTTATGTGGATTTAAATGTGTGTATGTGTTTTTACGGACTGTCATGTATGTTTAGATGAGTCTCTTAATGATTTCAAACGGCTCTGAAGTCTTTTAATATTAAATTTAGGCTCTACTTATGTCACATGTTATCATGGACCGTTCTGCCACAATTTACTTTGTATGAATTCAGTTTTTAATAATATAACAACACGTGGACATGAAACATAAAGGCATCAAGTGATTCATTTGCTTGCATGTTATTGTACAGAAATGCGAAGTGGAAGGAAAACAAGTATGTGAAGATTAACATTTATGCATTCGGCAGACTTACACTGCAGTCTCTCTGGGAATTGAACCCATGACCTCGACGTTACTAGCTTGATCTGCTGTCTGAGCTGCAGGATGATGCTTAATAAAGATGTTTAACAGATTCGCATGTGCCACAAAGAGGAATATTTGATCACAAATGCACTGTGGGAAAATGTTTAACTGGACCAAAGCTTTCAAATGAAGATGAACTTTAAAGTCAGCAGACTCTGTCATTGACGTGATGAATGTACAGTTGAGGTCAGAAGATTACATGCACCTTTCAGAATCTGCAAAATGTTAATTATTTTACCAAAACATGAGGGATCATACAAAATGCATGTTATTTTTTATTTAGTACTGATCTAAGATATTTCACATAAAAGACGTTCACATATAGTCCACGAGAAAATAATAGTTGAATTTATAAAAATGACCCCATTCAAAATTTTACATGCGCTTGATTTTTAACACTGTTGTTACCTGAATGTTTTTTAGTTTAGTGATAGTTGTTCATGAGTCCTGCATTGGTCCTGAACAGTTCCTGCTGTTCTTCAGAAAAACCCCTCAGCTCCCACTAATTCTTTGCTTTTCCAGCATCTTTTGTGTATTTGAACCCTTTCCAGCAATGACGGCATGATTTTGAGATCCATCTTTTCACACTGAGGACAACTGAGGGACTCAAACACAACTATTACAGAAGCTTCAAACACTCGCTGATGCTCCAGAAGGAAACACCATGCATTAAGAAAACCTTTTGGAGAAACTGTAAAGTGTATGTAAAATTTTGACCATAACTGCATTTACCAGAAGAAGAAGTTAACATTTGTGTGTGAAAGACTCGACGCTGCCAGTTTCTGAGGTTCTTTTATCAATGTTTACGAGATGATTGAAGTGTCTGATATTGACCCGTGTCAAAACAACACTAGTGCCACAAACATCTGAGACGTGCCTGTAGATGCACATAATCAGCGTCTCAAGATGTGTGAGTCCTGTGCTTCTGAACACGCTTACCTTCTTAATGCATCATGTGTAAATTTGTCATTGTAAGATAACAGTCTGTGGGCGTCTAGTGCACTGAGTGAGTGAAGCTTGTGACTGGCAGTATTTCAGAGAAATGTTACATCCATAGACACCTTCATGTGCTTTTCTAGTTTCTTCACGCTGATGTTGATGTACGTGAAGCTTCTTGAAATCAGGTCAAGTGTAAGTTACTGATCTCTGTGTGAATGTCCACAAAACTGCAAGACTTTCTGACTGTATATAAGTGGTAGGCGATTTTAGAAAGGAACATTTAAAAGATGAAAAAGTGGAATTTCAATCAATAAATTGTGAATAAAATATTACTATTGTGTGAATAATATGTAATCAATAAAAAGTAACTGTAGTTTGCTTACAAGCATTTTAAAATGTAATTTAATCCAATTACAAGTAATTAATTTTTGGAATCTGATTATGTAATCCAGATTACATGTAATCCGTTACTACCCAGCTCTCTCTCTCTATATGTGTGTGTGTGTGAGAAAGAGAGAGTGTGTGTGTGTGTGTGTGTATGAGTGTGCAAGATGGCGGCAGGTTGTAGGCCACTCGCTGGTGCAGGTGAATGCCAAAATGCTGCTTGGAAAAATTAAACAACCACACATGTTGTAATTGCCATCTTTAATGTAATAGGTGCAGAAATCAGCGTCTCAAGATGTGTGAGTCCTGTGCTTCTGAACACGCTTACCTTCTTAATGCATCATGTGTAAATTTGTCATTGTAAGATAACAGTCTGTGGGCGTCTAGTGCACTGAGTGAGTGAAGCTTGTGACTGGCAGTATTTCAGAGAAATGTTACATCCATAGACACCTTCATGTGCTTTTCTAGTTTCTTCACGCTGATGTTGATGTACGTGAAGCTTCTTGAAATCAGGTCAAGTGTAAGCGGGTTATAAATGCCTGCGGATGAAATAAACGTAGCTCCTGTCTCAATGTGTGGTGCGCTCTCGTGTTTGGTTGAGTTTTGCTGGTAGTTGTAGTTGCTGAAGGTCAGCGTGCCTGTTCCTGACCCGCTGAAGAGTTATATGCTGTTTCTGCAAAGCACCTTGGGAAGTTCTGACCGGCTCCTGAGCACATTTCTCCTGAAGAGCTTCATTGTGTGTCTGAACCCTGTTTAATGCTGTATAAATCTGCTGTGCTTTATTGTGTTTAGGATGCTGGGAAACACTCTCATTAACCGTAAATAATAGGGCCGTATTTCATGTGCTGCGGATGACATGAACAGAAACTCAGCCAGTTTTATGTCTGTGCAGAGAAACAGAGTGTGTGTGTGTGAGAGAGAGAGAGAGTGTGTGACAGAATAGTGGACCTGATGGTGAAAGACATATCAAACCATTTACCACCTTTAGTAAGAATATACAAACATTCCTGTATAAAATCATCTATGTTTCAGTATTGTAGTAGGAACTCTGAAATCTTTTCATGCCTGTCTGCTAATACACCAGATGTTGCTGTGATTAATGAGGAGTGTAGAGAGATGTTTGTTTTGGAGGTTGCATGCACCTTTGACTCTAGTATGGAGGAAGCTTTCATGACTAAAGTCTTGATTAAATATTGCTTTTATTGTCCTCATTTGTAAGTTGCTTTGGATAAAAGCGTCTGCTAAATGACTAAATGTAAATATATGTATATGTGTGTGTGTGTGTGTGCCATTGCCATTTTCACAGTACAAGCCAGATTGCAAGTTCTTCCTACTAGACTCAACCTTTCTATCTGGTTTCCTACAACTCAGGTTCCTCACTGTCTGCATCACACTACAGAACAGATCACTGAAACATTGCCACATATCCTCAACGGCTGCCGTGCTTACAAGGGAATGTACACAGCACGCCACGACAGAATAGTGGACCTGATGGTGAAAGACATATCAAACCATTTACCACCTTTAGTAAGAAACTGTCTGCATCACACTACAGAACAGATCACTGAAACATTGCCACATATCCTGAACGGCTGCCATGCTTACAAGGGAATGTACATAGCACGCCACGACAGAATAGTGGATCTGATAGTAAAAGACACATCAAACCATTTACCGCCTTTAGTAAGAATATACAAACATTCTTGTGTAAAATCATCTATGTTTCAGTATTGTAGTAGTAACTCTGAAATCTTTTCATGCCTGTCTGCTAATACACCAGATGTTGCTGTGATTAATGAGGAGTGTAGAGAGATGTTTGTTTTGGAGGTTGCATGCACCTTTGACTCTAGTATGGAGGAAGCTTTCATGACTAAAGTCATTAAATATCAACCACTCCTAAATACCATTTCAGAGACAGGTTATAGAGGCCGATTACTTGTTTTCATATTTGGTAGCTCAGGACACACACACAGGCTGGTTGTAAGAGGGCTTCAACAACTTGGGCTAAACGTCTAGCAAAGTACTGTGCTTTGTCCTCTATCATAGGCAGTCGTCATATATGGCAGAGACGCTGTTATTTATACCCATAACAACTGAGTGATATGCTTAATATTGTGAAGACCTGTTGCATGCCATTGGTCCATGATTTTGTACATGTATTTAACTGCATCTATAATATTTATGTCCCTGTAAATTAAATTATAGAATTAAATAAATTGTTAAAATGTGAGAGAGTGTGTGTATGTGTGTGTGTGTGTGTAAGAGAGAGAGAGTGAGTGAGTGAGTGAGTGAGTGAGTGAATGAATGAGTAAATCTTAGGGCAATATTTTGAGAGTGCTTTATTTGTTCTAATTATTGGAATTTAAATACATTCATCTACAGATCATCTACAAATTTTCATAAATTTGCCTCATTGACTCATTATAATTTAGAGAT